TGGCTGCTTTCCTCCTGTGGTGGCAGAGAGTTGTTGCAATAGTATGGATTACAAAGCTGCAGAACATTGGAAACATGGCCCTTGGGCCCTTTCAAAGAGTGCTGACTTCTGCCTCAGAGAATCTCAGGGTGTCACAGGATCTGGGTGCTGTCTTTGCAGACATGAGGTTTGCACCAGCTGGAAAGGCAGGGCCTGTGTCTTGTTCATTGCTGCGTGTCTGGGCTGGAGCATGTGCTCAGTGCATGTCTGCCAGCTGTGCAGTGACTGCCATAACCTGTGGTACTGATGTGCTGTGTTCTTCCACACAGGGAATGGCACCATTTTCTGGTGGTCAACATGAAGGGCAACGACATCAGCAGTGGCACAGTCCTCTCTGATTATGTGGGCTCCGGGCCTCCCAGTGGCACAGGTTGGTAAAGACTGGTTCTAGGGTTGGAGAGGCTGGATGCACATTAGAATTCATTTTATTTATGAGCCTACTGGAGAAAGAAGGCTGATTGGGTTCCTTTAGGGCATTTGCCTTCCTGAGCACGTTCAGACCTCCTGGAGTGTGGGCTGGCTGGAACTTTGGGGTCTGCCTAGATGTGGGCCTTTAATAAGCAGGAAAGACGAGAAGGAAACAGTGCTGTCTGTAGAAGGGGTTTCTGGGGGTGCACATGGGCTGAGCACAGTTGAGTCATCTCTGCTCTCTGTTCAGTTTAGTATCTTGAAAAGATCTGGATGGCTGTGTTAGATCTGGATTGAAGCCATTCCACACACTGTTGATCCTGTTCCATGTAAAGCAAGGTGGACCAGAGAGAAGGTTACCTTGCGACTCCCCTGAGCATGCCCTGAGGGTACATTGTGGTTACCAGGGAGATGATGGTGGATGAAGCATGGCGGAAGAGTAGCTTTTGTGCACACTTGTCCTGCTATGAAGAGGTATAAGAAGTGCCTGATAAGGACTGCTGGTCATGAACTCCTGCCCAGAAACTTCCAGATGGCTTTGAGCTCTCATGCATTCATAATAGGGAGGGTAAAGGGCCAGGTTTCCTAGGGACCTGTTAAGTTCTCCAGGGAAGTTATAAACTCAGGCAATTTAATTATGGGCAGTATACACATGAGCATAAAGCAATTCTCTCGAGAAGGAGCGGTGTTCTCATTTAAAAAACAAGCCTTGGTAACTCATTTTTCTGTTCAGATTCTTCTAGTAGGGTCTGAAGTCCATATAGTAAATAAATAGAGGTCATAAGGTTTCAGGCAGCAGATCTGACTGATGCATATACACTTAGGCATTTCAAAAAGACAGAAGTCATTTGCATCACCCAGAGGGTTTTTTGGTGCATGAGACCTTTTTATTTGAAACCCCCCAGAGCTCACTGTTCTCTGTACCTATTGTCCTAGATGATTTCTGCTGTGCTTACAGTCCGATAGATGGAGTCATGCAGGATGATTCCACAGCCAGCCAAGTCAGTGCTTGTATCCAGTCATTTACCCTTTTTTGTTCCTGGGTAGTATTCCCTTGTGCACCACAGTTAGTTAGCATTCCCCTTTTGATGGGCATTGTTCCCAGTACTGTGCTCTTATGAATAAAGTGGCTGCATACATTCCTTTCATTCTGTGGGCAGGTGTTTTCATGGCTCCTGGGTATATGCCTAGGAGTAGAATTGTTGGGTCATAAAAATTGCCCAGGAGTTCACTGAAATGGTTGAAAACTTTATACTCTAACCAACATATTCGAAGGTCTCAATAGATCCATGTAAAATCCCTGTAATTCCACACCAAGATTAAATATTGTTGGTCTTGTCTGGTGTAGTGGTGCATACCTGTAATCCCAGCCCTTGAGAGATGGAGGTAGGAGGATTGCCGTGTGTTCGAGGCCAGCCTGGGCTACATAGTTCAAGGCTAGCCTGAACTACATAGCGAGACCCTGTCTCCAAAGCAAACAAAAAATTGTATATATATGGAACTCAGGGCTCCATGCCTGCTAGGCAAGGGTTCTACCACTGAGCTATATCCCCAGCCTTTTTAAACTTTTTTTTGTGTGTGTGTTGGGGATCGAACTCAGGATGTTGTGCTTTCGAGGCAGGCACAGTGCCACTGAGCTAAATCCCTGGCCCCTTTTTAAACATTTTTATCTTGAGACAGGGTCTTGCATAGTTACTTAGGTTGCCCTTGAACTTGGAATCTTCCTGTCTCAGCTTCCTGAGTAGGTGGGATTACAGGCCTATGCGTGCTCTGCTGTTGGTCCTTTTTAATTTTAGACATTCTAATGTGTGTGAAGTGGTAGTATTTAATAACTTTTTAAACTGCAGTAAAAACATGTAACAAATCTCAGTGTCTTAATTCTGTAAGTGTACAGTTCACCAGTGTAAACTATATTCACATTATTGTTAAACACTTAATTCATCTTCCCGAAGGGAAGCTGTATCCACTGAACAACAGCACCCCACTCCTCCCCCAGCCCTTCCTGGCAACCAGTATTCCCCACTCTGTTCGATGAGTTGGACTGCGTTGGATAGCTCTTCATAATATCTTCAGGGTGCATATGTTGCAGCATGTGTCAAAGTGCCTTTTTTAGGCGGAATAATAGCACATTTTGTGGATATACCACAAGTTGTTTAATAACCAATCCTCAATTGATGGACATTTGGGCTGCTTCCAGCTCCTGGGTGTTAACGAATAGTGCAGCAGTGAACACTGATGTGCAGATGTTTATGTAACTTAAAAAAAAAACTTTTTAGAAAAGCTCATGATACTCATTTGTGTCTAGTACTTAATTGGATCTTAGAGAAAGCTGCATAGTTAGCCAGGTGCGGTGGCTTATGCCTTATTACCAGCTACTTGGTAGGCTGAGGCAGGAGGATCTGGAGTTCCAGGCTAACCTGGGCAATTTAGTGGTACCCTGTCTCACAATAAAAAATGAAAAGGGATGAGGATGTAGCTCAGTGGTAGAATGCCTCTAGGTTTGATCCTCAGTATTATAAATGGAAAAAGAAAAAAATACAGCAAGGTGCACAGTTAGTTTAATAAGGTGTTTGTGAGTGCTTCAAAAGCATTCTTTGTTGCTGGGTTTGGTGGCACCCACCTGTAATCCCAGCACTCGAGCCTGATAGAGGAGGATCACTGTGAATTCAAGGCCAGTGTGGGCTATGTAGTGAGCTCATGGCTAGCCTGAGCTACATAGCAAAACCCTGTCTCAAAAAAACAAAACAAAACTGTTTGCTGTGATTAAGGGGAGTTTAGGTCATTTCGAAACGAGTCTGTAGTCTTCTGAGAAAGTGTGTTGAAGAGATAGAAAGATAACACTCCATTTGCCTGCCTTGGCTTGACTGGTATGATGGCACTGACCCCGAGAGGAGACTTTCCCCTCCATCTGTTGCTCATGTTATTAGCACCTCCCATGTGCTGGGCATTTTAGGGTGATAGGACATAGCATAGCTTATGGAGGTTTTACTTTTAGCAGGAAGATTAAATTGCAAAGTTAGATCTCTGGCTACTGATGTTACCTAGACGGAGGGAAGATGGGTATTCTGATGGGGGTGGTAGGAATGGCTGGAGATGGGCTGGAAGTGGAGGTGAGTGAGGCGCAGAGAGGGGATTGGAGGTGAGATGTGGGGTGGTCAGAGGCTGGAATGATGGGTTTGAACCAGATCCCATGGCAGCGGCCTTGCACTGGTGACATTCAGCGGTTGAGTGATCTGATTCATCTTCTTGCTCTGCGTCCTCAGTGTCCTGTAGGGTGGTCTGAGCCCGTGTGACTTGAAGCAGTTGAAAACAGGTGATGGCTCCATGTCGGGTGCCTCCTGTGTGCACATCTTCCCTTCTGCCTCTCCCTCCAGGCCTGCACCGCTACGTGTGGCTGGTCTACGAGCAGGACAAACCGCTGAAGTGTGATGAGCCCATCCTCAGCAACCGATCTGGGGACCACCGCGGCAAGTTCAAGGTGGCAGACTTCCGAAAGAAATACCAGCTCGGGGCCCCGGTGGCCGGCATGTGTTACCAGGCTGAGTGGGATGACTACGTGCCCAAACTGTACGAGCAGCTGTCTGGGAAGTAGGGGAAACTCCACAAGGTTTTATGGTCCTGGAGATGCCACTCAGTGTTCTTGAGTTCTGTTCAGTGTTGCATGTAGTTTTCTCCCTTGTCCCACTCCCTTTGCCCAAGTGAGACCTAGTCTGTCCCATAGTGCTTTAGGATGACTTTTCCTGCTGCCTGTCCTTTGGGATTCTAGACAGTCACACATCCCAGTTTATGTTTGGGTCAAATTTGAACTCTGTTTTGGGGGATATTTTGGTACTACGATGGGATCATTGCATTGTTAATAAAGGCAGAGCACCCCAAGGTTTAAGGGGAAAAAAAAGACCAAGTATACAGGCACAAAGCAAATTATCAAAGAATCTGTAAAGGAAGCTAAAAAAGATGGGTTGTCTCTGCCTTCACGAGTCTTGAGTCCAGACTTGTGCACGAGGCACCTTCTGAGATGAGTTTTCACAGTGTGGGAAGACCAGAGGCTCCCATCTTGGGTAAACCAGGACAGGCTGTTACATTTCTGGTGGCTTAGATGATGTCAGGGTCCTGCTCTGGGTCCTTTAAAGGGCGCAGCTGGAAACAGTGGTAGGAGGGATGGCCTTGCTCTTTTTGAGGCCTGGCCGTCTAGTCTAGCAGTGGGTTGGGGTGACACGTTGTCAGGATCCTTAAAATTAGTGTCTGCTAAGTTGGTCCCTTGTCATTGGTTTAAGAAAAGCTGGGCTAGAGTTGCTTCCTGTTGTGTTAATTCTGTTGTTTGCTTATCGTTGAATAAAAGTGAAAACACTGGACAATCTTGACCTCCACGTGTTTTGCTTAATTCAGTGTGGGTTTCATAAAAGGGGGAAGTCAGAAGATGACCTCTGAGGGCGAAGACGACCCTTTTCCCTGAGCAGCAGGAGAGGCTGGGATCTGATCCCCGAGCTTCTCTCACCAGAATGGCTTCGCAGGTCCTGGCCGCTACGGCAGGAGGAACCTTCAGATGGGAGGTTCTTAAGAACTCTTATAAGACTTTAGGCAGAGTTTTCAGCTCCAGAAAGATCTTTTGCTTTTACAAGATTCTTTTGGCCTAAGAAAAATTTAATTTTGCATTGCTGGGACTGGAACCCAGGGCCTCGTGCATTCTAGGTAAGTGCAATACCACTGGGTCACATCTCCCGCCAAGAATGATGTTTGAAGCTGATTGACAACTCTTCCCCCTTGAGGTACTTGTGCAGAGACTATAACTGGGCCTTAGAAGTCACCTATGGCCTTCATGGTTTTGTTTTGACTTTTCTGTTTTTTCCTGGAGTACTAAAGATTGAACCTAGGGCTTTTGCACTGAGCCACACTCCTGGCTTTTTAAACTTTTTATTTTGAGATGAGAATTTGCTAAGTCATTGAATTGCCCAGGCTGGACTTAACCTCAGTCACTGCCTCAGCCCCTGTGTAGTTGGAATGACAGGTGTTTGTCACTGCACCTGGTTTTGAAGTACTTTCTTCAAACAGCTGCTGGAAGTGTCACCTAATATGATCTCTAGGGGCAGTTAAGGTAAAGAGAAACTTTTTTTTAACTTTAGTGTTTTAAAATTTATTTTTTAAATAAGATTTGATAAAACAAGAGTTACAGAGAAAACAAATAATTATCCCGTTGACCTTAATGTAGAGTCAAACACAATGGCACACACCTGTCATTCCAGCTACTTGAGATACTGAGATAGGAGGATTCCAAGTTGAATGCTAGCCTGGACAACTTAAGGAAAGCCTGTCTTAAAAGGAGCTGAGGAAATAGCTCAGTGGTAGAGCACTCACCTAGCATGTATGAGGCCCTGAGTTCCCAGTTCCAGAAGAAACGATGTTGGCCCAGGGTGTAGTTCAGTGGTAGAATACATGCTTTACATGTTTGAGGCCCTGGCTTTATTCCTAGCGAGAGATAAGATGGAAGAGAAGGAAGGAAAATGACTTAACCTACCCTGCAGTTTCTCCTAAATAGCAGTTACTGGTTTCTTGGGTTTTCTTCCAGAAGAAAATAAAGGTAAACGCACATATCTGCATATCCTTAAAAAAAAAAAAGTCTTAGTGTATACATTGGTATGTTTTCCACACTTATTTTTTCTTTTTTTCCTATAATGGGGATCGAACCCAGAGCCTTCATCCTGAACCATATCCCCAACCCTTTTTATCTTTTAAGACAGGATTTTGGTAAGTCACTAAGTTGCCAAGGCTGGGCTCAAACTTGTAATCCTTCTGCCTCAGCCTCCTAGAGTACTGTTACACAGGCATGTGCCACCATGTCCAGCTCTGCCCTTTGTTTCCAAACTAATATAGTTCATGTAATAGATCTTCAGTTAATCACTATAGTTCACATTTTGAACAAATACTCAATTTTATAGATGTCCCATAATATATTTGCTAGAGGATACATCATAGTCCCCAACTATGAGGTGTAGATTATTTCTGGTTATTTACTGTTATAATCAGTGCTTCAGCAAACATTTTTCCTATATGTGTAAAATGCTGTTGCAAGTAATTTTGTAGGGAAAATTCCTAGTATTGAAATAATTACGTCGAAGAGTAGGAGCATGTTCAGTTCTGATACCAACAAACTGTCCTCCAAAAAGATAACCTTGTCTGTATTAGACAGGGGAACACCAAAGAACCTGTTCTTCCATACCCTTTCAGTCTTCTCAAGCTTTATGCATTCTGACAACGTGATATTTACGTGCATTTAAATTCATTTACTGTTTTTTCTCTAAGCAATTTTTCTGAGATTATCTTGCTAATCACAAAGTCCTTTTGAAAGTCAAGATGAATAAGGAAATAATATTAGCTTCCTTGTCTAAAACAGGTGTAGGCACAAGTGGAAACAGGTGGAGTATGTAAAAGATGTTCACGTGGAATATGTAAGAAAGGATGCGTTAGTCCCCTAGAAACAAAGATTGGGAGGGAAAGTGGGTAAGCCCAGGGGCATCTGGCTAAGAAGTGGGTGCCCCTTCCAGCTTTGGTCCTTTACAAGTGCTGCCTAGAATCTTCACCTCCTGTGCTCTTTGACAGTAATTCATCCATTTTCCTGTACTCCATTGCAATGGAATTGTAATTTTAAAGTATGTCTGTATATAACTTTAAAGTCTGTTTATTGGATGGATCCTTCACGAAGGTAAGAACTGAGAATGTTATATTTAGTAGCCTGGCCCCTGACAAAAGTTCCTCACACATACTGAAGTCTCCTGGACCACTGGAGGAATGAGTGATTTTAGAGGAGTTTTTAAGGTTAGGTCCTTCTTTATAACCATTTATTACACCATAAAATTCCTTCTAGCCAGGCATGCTGGCACATGCCTGTAAGCCCAGCACTCTGGAAAACAGAGGCAGGAGAACTGCAAGTTCAAGGTCAGCCTGGACAACATAGTGATTTAGCGACAGCAAGATCTTGTCTCAAAATACAAAATAAAAAGGACCAGGGATGTAGCTAAGTGGTAGAGGGCCCTGGTACTGGAAATAAATTTCTTTTCTCCTCCCCCAAAGTACACTTCTATAAGAATTAATGTACAACTGAGTTCTCACAGAACTCTAAAGCCCATTCATCAACTCCCTGGTTCTGATGACAACAACTTGCGGACTGCACTCTTGACTGGTATAGGGAATAGGGAAAGGGACTTTACCAGAACCCCTGCAGTGGGTCCTGGTCTCTTGTGAGCCACTACAACACAGAGCTGATAAGAATAAAGACACGAAACAAGGGTTAGAGAAGAAGCTGGGTTTTGGGCCTGATCAGTGCCACTCTGGGCAACAAAGACAAAGGCACCCCGAGCTTGCCACTATTTATTGGTTTCATAGGGAGTATCAGATGACTCAGAGGCTGGCCATAATCCTAAATTGACAAGGGTCTTATAACCGCAGGAAGTATCAGATGTCTTAGAGGGTGGTATTCCTATGATGATGAAAATCTTACCCTGATGAGGATCTTAGGCTGATGAGGAGCTTCAGGTGATTAGGACAGTGAGATGAGCAAAATGGTCTTAGAACAGCAGGTGGGATGAGTTAAATTGATAAGGAATTTGTTCCTCCCCAGGTGAAACCTTTCTCTTTTTGTATTTCTACTGGGTTCTCAAAGAACCAGGATGTCTTCAGCTGATGTAATCTTGCCCTTGAGCATCACAACATCATCAGACTATTGAGGCCTTAGACGGCTCTAATCATAATTTAACTGTGAAATGATTTTTTTCCCCAAAATTATGTAGAATGGCTCCCAACAGATTGGGGGTCCCCTCTACCCAGGGCCCATCTTTCAAATTTTTATTTTTTTCTTATTCTCTTGACTCTTATTCCTGGTCCCTCTACCCCAATTGTATGATTTCCTTTGGAAATTTAAATGGACTAGAAAATTTCCAGTAATTGATTTAATATAATTATTGGTGTAGTGGGCTTTATGATCTTCTGTTTTATGATATGATTTCTCTTTATCCACTTTTATTAGTACAAGTTTGTAATACAAAATGGTGATGTTCATTTTGGGGAATTGGTACATGGATAGAACATATCTTGGTCATTTTGATGACTTCATCTCTCTCCTTTACCTCCCCCTTCCTTTTCTTGAGACAGGTAGTCCGTGCTGACCTGGAACTTGCTGTGGAGCCCAGGCTGCCTCAGATTCTTGATTGCCTCAGTCACTGAGTGCTGGGGTTATAGGTGTACCCCGTTACACTCAGCTTTGATTATTTAAAAAATTTTTTTCTCTCTTCTCCCTTTCTTGCTTCCTTTTGGATTATTTTATCTCTTAGGTATCTGGGTATTACCGTTTGGATTTTCTTTTTGATAGTTGCTTTGGAGATTACAATAGAGTTAATTTTTCATAGTCTCAGAATAGAAACTAACACTGCAAGTAAAATGTAGATCATTGCAACCAAATACATCCTTTACCCCCAACCTTTGTTATAGCTATCATATGGATTACATTTGCAGACATTAAAACCCTTACCACACAGCATTATCAGTTTTGCTTTCAACAGTGCTATATATTTAAAAATGGGGGGAGGGGCCGGGGATTTAGCTCAGCCGTTCTGCCGCCTGCCTCACAAGAGCAAGGTCCTGAGTTTGATAACCCGGCACCCCCCCCCCAATCAAGTGATTTTCCTTCCATTTAGCTGGAACTTCAGGCATATTCCACCACACTGAGCCTCGTGGCATTTTAGAATAAATCTGCTAAAAATGCTTCTCTTTTCCTTTGTCGGAGAATGGTTTTATTTCATTTTCATTCCAGTCTACGTTGCTTCTGTACAACCCACTTAATTTTAATTTTTAGTATCCTCAGGTAGTTGCCTTTACCTTTTGTCTGGGTTTTAGTTATATACAGCAGGAGAGAGACTTACTGTGCTAAACCTGAACAATCAAAGTATGTGTGTGTGTGTGTGTGTGTATATATATATATATATATATATATATATATATATAGTTGTTGTCGTTGTCTGTTTTTTGAGACAGGGTCTCACTAGGCAGTTCAGGCTGTCCTTAATGTGCTATGTAGCCCAGACTGGCCTTGAACTTGCAGTGATCCTCCTGCCTCACCCTCCCAAGTGCTGGGATTGCAGGGGTGCACCACCGTGCCTGGCATTCAAAATATATTTCTATGGCAAAATATACTACTGGATTAAAATCAGAAGGGCTTCTTAAGTGGGCCTGTTTCCAGGTGCCTAAGAAAACACTTTTCCAATAGGTACATAAGTAATTACAGATGGTGGCAAATTCAAGAAGTAAATTATTTTACCTAATTATACATCCTCTGATGCCCCTGACTGGAATGACTGCAGTTACTTTAAGGT